AACCTATTGTACTAGTCACTCAAAAATTATCCAAGTAACTGATGCGTGAGAAAGGATAAAACTGAGAAATGTATGTTGGAAATACCTCTTTTTATTAATGAAATTCTTTTACATTGCTTTACTATTATCTTGCAAAGTTATCTTTCTTGCTTCTTTACTTGCATTTCTACATTTCTGCCTACTTTTCCAAAATCTCAAACATCTTTTCTCTGGGTCGAACATGTGTTCTTCCTGCTTATCTGTCTTACATAAAAATTAGCATATGTTCTAGGATTAATCTGATCGATCCCGTAAGTAAACCAAAAAGAACTTTCCTTTTTGGAGATCAGCGGTTGTTTACCAAAAATCACGGTAAACACCATTGGAATTTGGTTATAGCCTGAATAGGCGTCCATAAACGACAGTATTTTATAACCGGCCAAGTTGTCGACCAGCATATCTATGTTAGGTAAAGGAAATGCATCCTTCGGGCAAGCCCGGTTAAGATCAGTATAATCAACGCATATTCGCCACTTTCCATTATTTTTCTTGACAAGTATAACATTTGACAGCCAGGTTAAATACCGGGCTTCAGAAATAAAATTTGCCTCTAGGAGATCTTTTACAGCTTTTTCAGCAGCCTCCGTTTTCTCCAGAGACTGCCTACGTCTACGTTGTACTACTGCCCTAGCGGCAGGGTCTATGGCGAGACGGTGACAGGCGACCTCGGGGTCGAGTCCGGGCATTTTCGCAGTGCTCCACGCGAAGAGGTCCACATTCTCGTGCAAACAAGCTTTGATTTGCTTCCTTGCTAAGTCATGGAGTTCGGTGCCGATCTTCACTCCTCTGCTTGGGTCTTCGCCGAGGGGGACGAGTTTGAAGTCCCCGTTCGGAATTGGTCGGAGGGGGATTTGCTCGCCATTAGGAGGCTCATCCTGGTCGAAGCAGGTGTCCAGGGATATTGAGTTGACCTTTAGAGGGGTTCTCTGCTCTTCTGCCTTGATGGGCTCTATCCTTTGAGGCTCTGGTCGTGTTGTCGCAGCTCTCTTGGCAGGCCTTGTGCTGGTGTCCACCATATCGCATCCCTTGGAAACCGCGTTAAAACACCTTTGGGCAGCTGCTAGGTCCCCTTGGATGGTGGAGACCCGTGCCCTCTTGGTATAAAACTTCATTTTCAGATGAACGGTAGAGGGTATTGCGGTCAGCTCCGCCAATGTTGGCCTTTCTTGAATGCAGTTGTAGAGGGACGAGCAATCAATGACGAGGAAGTGCATCTTGACTTGCCTCGTTTCTATATCCTCGCCGAATGTGACCATGAGCTCGACGTATCCCCAAGGCTTGGAATTTGAGTCGTTAAAGCCCTGCAGGTCTGACCCCACGTAAGGTGAGAGGTGAGAGTCGTCGAGCTGCAGGGTTCAGAACAGTTGGTTGTACATTACGTCGACGGAAATTTCTTCATCGACGAGGATGCGGTGTACGTCAAAGTTGGCCATCCTCGCTCTTATCAGTAGAGGAATGACCGAATTGGGGGACCCTCCGGGGAGCTCTTCGAGATAAAAGGTGATAGGTTCTGACCTACTCTTCACCTTTTCAAAAGTCATCGTTTGAGGAGGGGCCGTGTCGACCAACTCGTCCAGCTTCCTCTTGGCCGAATTTATGGTCAGGTCATTGAAACCTCCACCATTGATGACCATGGCGGAGGGAAAGTGCTCCCACCTGCTATGCGTCGACAGCGGTTCTTGCATGTGGTCGGGGACGTAGAAGTCCTCGGGTTATGTGATGGAGAAGGCTGTTTGGATGGGGACCGACTCGTCAGATAGTCGGGCATCCTCTTCTGCTTCTCTTGTCTCACGGGCGTCGCGACGAGGAGCGTCGTTTCTCTAGTACTTGGCGAGTCTCCCCCTTTTATGAGGGTCTCGATGGCGTCTTTTAGGTGGATGCAGTCTTCAGTCAGATGGTTGTGGCTCCTGTGGTACTGACAGTATTTTCTCCTATCCACCCCGGGTTTGGCAGGAGCTGGTCGGAACGCCTGACACCGCCATCTTTGAAGTCTGTACTTGCACACTCTGCTAAGATACGCTCGCGGGAAGCCGTGAGCAGAGTGTACTCTGTGAAACTCCCCGAAGGCCCCCCCTGTTCTCGGATGTCCCGGGGTTTGTCGTCTTTTCTTTTTTCCTCGGTTTGTCGAGGAGGGATAGCCACTTGGAGCGGGTTGCTACTGGATCCGTGATTCCTAGGGTCTCGGGCTCTAATGGCCGCTTCCCTCTCCTTGTAGTCCATGTAGGCCTTAGCCTTCTCGAGGAGAGCATCAAACGTTCAGGGTGGTTCGATGCCCACGGCCTTCCTGAATTCTGTGCCGGGGAGGAGGCCCCTCTCCAGCAGGTATCTTTTCATATGGTTCATGCAAGGGACCTGGATGGCTTCCCGGTTGAAGCGGTTGATGAACTCTCTCAAGGTCTCATCCTACCTATGGATGATGGTCTCGAGCGCCGCTTCGCTCTTCGGATGTCGCCGCGACGCGATGAATAAGCTTATGAACTGGTTCTTAAAGTTTCGCCACGAGGTAATTGATCCCGAGGCGAGACCTTTGTACCAGTCCATAACTGCTTTACTCAGGGTCGTGGGGAACAACCGACATTTGATGGGTCCCCCAATGTTTTGGTAGTGTAGCATGACCTCGAACCCGTCTATGTAATCGATCGGGTCGGCGACTCCGTCATACTCTTTCTAGTGTGGAGGCTTCTCCATGCCCGGGGGAATGGGCGCCTCCATGATAGCTTGTGATAGGGGACCGCGGGGGTCGTCATCATCACTTCGTTCCGGGGAGCGGGACGGGGACCTGATGTATTGTCGGTCACGATGGCTCTGGTCGTGTTGGACGTTCCTCGAGCGATGTGTCCGTTGATAGGTTCCTCTGTGTTTGTCTCCGGGAGGTCTTCGTTCTTGCCGTGAAGGGCCATGGTCGCGCCTTCCAGTCTCAATGAATGGTTCGAGAGATGTCCCGGTCCTGTCTCTACGGGGGAGATCGGGGACGTTCCTCCATTCTTCGAGGAGGTGGGGATTGAGGCCTCCTGTGTCTCCTCGGGGGCCTTCTGTCGTCCTCTAGTGCTCTCAGTCTTTTCCCTTGGGCAAAGATGAGGTAGTTGGTCTGGTTGATTGTCGTGAATAGTGTCTTGGTCGTGGCGTCTGCCCCGGCGGAGACAAGAACTTCATGGAATTGGGCGGCTAGATAGTTCGGGGGAACTGGATTATCTTCTTCAAGCCGAGGAGGGACTGATGAAGATGAAGTCGTGGCTCCGTCCCGGTAGTTAGAGGGCCCGGGGATGGGCCCCCCCCGGGGAGTATGCTATGGTCGGCGATGCCGATGTTGTCGGGGCCGCCATTTTTGTCGGCGAGGTTGTTGTTAGCTTCAACGACGCGGACGTTCTGGTTGTCCTGAATCTGGTCAGCCATGACGGTCGAGGATGGTTTTAGCTTTGGTCTTTGTAAGTTTGTAAGACGGGGAAGCTTAGTTTCCCACAGATGGCGTCACTGATCGTACCTGATCAGAATTGGACCGTCACAGCTGGTTCGAACTGAATTTGAAGGAGGTGGAAGTACCTGCAAGACACTCCGATGATAAAGTGAGAAACAGAATGAGCAGGCGAATTGTATGTAGGTGTGAATGAATGAATACCTGACCTTATTGAAATAGAGGGTATTTATAGCCCCCGGTGCTGGGCCAATGTCCCTTTATTGGGCTGACCAAATAGGTCCAACAAAGGGACTGTCAGGTTCTACGTGGAGTAGTGGAGACCTGCACGTGGTCCCTTACCTGGATGATGCTCTCCACAGAAATAGGGAGGTGAAGACGCGGTCTTCTCGGGACCCTGAGGACTCCGAGATATTCGGAGAGGTTGAGTCTGTCCTACGAGGAGTGTGTTCGAACACTGTCTGGATTGAGACGTTCCTCGTCTGGGACGTCCCTTATCGGGGACTCTCTTCACAATCACCGACGGGCACAATTGTATTCGACGACACCCATAATCGAGGCGTGTCGGGAATTCTAATATTCAGCATGGTATATTGTAAAGCTTGGATTTGACCTCACTGGTAATTGGGCCACGGGCATGCCCAATCTAAAACATTTACAATATTAACCTTAAAAAATACAATGCCTATAAGCCACCTCGTTGACTTCTTTTTAATTTTGTGGAACAAGACAAAGTTTTAGATTCACACATTAAATTATATTTTCCCCCATCCCACTACGTGTTTTTGTAAACTTTTGCAGAACAAGACTTTAAACGAAACGAATGTATCTGTTTTTCATCCCTACTAAGTATTACTAACAAATTAAACGAGGCCTAACATTGCTCATCAAAGCATATAGCATTGTAGTTGTTGACTAAGTATGTGTTTGGTTGCACGGTAGATAATAAAAAAGCACGGTTGCTATATCTTTTAAGGTAGAAAAATATGAAAATGTAGACGCTAAGAATTGCATAGTTAAAAAAAAAAACATTTGTTTTTTCAATTTTCACCGTTAAAACTAACTCACACTAACTAGTTTTCCTTCTTGATTAGCCCATTTTATAAATTTCTCATTGAATAACTTAAAATATTTAGGGAATATATGAAAGAGCCACAACAACTCAAAGAAAACGACAACACTTAAAACCAAAAGGAAAACTAACAATCATAAGAACATATATAGCAATTTCCCACCACTCAATATTTACTACATGACCCAGTATAGAAAAACCAAATAATTAATACGCCAGCTCATTTACTATATAATCTTTCTCTATCTACACATAAATTTCATGATTAACTTTCAACAATCCAAACAAACAAACAAGCACAACTTAGTACAACTAAATCAACATTTTCAAGCCTTTCAACAAATAAAAACAATAATTAAAATAAATAATCAGATTTGTGTTTTATTCACAAAAAAGTTCATACAACTTATAATTTCAACATTTTCTTTAGGAATAGTAGAGAAAAAAAAAAGAAAAAGATGTTTGCTAAATTCTAATCTAATCTCCATTAGTAGGAGACCAAGGAGTCATATCCATAGGATAACTACCCAACACTCGCAAGAACGAGGTGAATTCCTGAACTTCCGCCAACGCGTTTTGTGCCCTAACTTCAGCCATAGAAGCTTCAAAATCAACATAAAACAAATACTCAAAGTGCTTCGCAGTTCCAACGTTCTCATCATCCACAAGCCTAATCGGACGGTTACGATGCGGCCTCGATTCAATCTTCGTTAAGCTAATATTCCTAAACGCGAAAGCTGAAAGCACTTTGAAAAGCACTGAAGTTCCTTTATCGTGTGCGAAAACGATGCTGGTTTTGAAAGGACGATCGGTCCGTGGAATTATCGGTTCTCGGGCCAGCATGACGAACCGGGTCACGTTACTCGGGTCGTCCTGGATTCCGTCTGCTAGGATTTGTAAACCGTAAAGCTCCGCCGCGCGTGCGCTTGCTATTGCGGCGGTGTCGCGAAGGCTGTTTGTTGCGATGAATTCCGCTGCTCCGGCTGTGTCGTCGACGGCTTCACGTGCCACGTTGATGCCGAGTTTTGTTAACGTGTGTTCGCACTGAGAGAGTGCTTGTGGATGAGAAATTACTCGGTTTAGATATTCTTTTCGGATTCCGGGGAGAGCGAGGAGACAGTGATGAACCGGGAGTTGAACTTCACCCACGATGTGGAGACGGTGACGGAGGAGGAGGTCGTAATTCCTATGGATCGAGCCTCCGAGGGAATTTTCCACCGGTAGAACGGCGCGATCGGCAATCCAGAGCTCAACCGCTTGAAACGCGACTTCGAATTGGTCACACGGAATGGCTTCGCAGTTCGGATAAGCTTTTCCGGCAGCAGCTTCGGAGTACGCGCCGGGGACCCCTTGATACGCGACGCGAAGCTGCGAGCCGTGCATCGGAGCAGGAGCAAGGTCGGATATTGTGAGCGGCTTCGGTGGAAGCGGCTTTGAAAGCTCTCCACTGAGGCTTCCGATGGGAACTAACTGGAGGTTGGTCACGTTGGTTTTGTGGCCATTGATGGCGGCGATGTGATCGGATTTGCCTCCGTTGATGTCAGTGGAAGGTTTCTCTTGAGAAGAAACATTGCTAGATAGAATAGCGCACGAGCTTTGCCAGTCGGCTCGGCTTGAGCCGACACCGTAAGCACATTTGATGAGAATTCGGGTCGAAGCGACACCGACCCGGTTTGGTGACCGACAGGGGCGTGTTATTATGTGGTTGAAATTGAGTGCGTTGGAAGAGGGAGGTGGAGATAGAGTATGCATAATTCTTAAGGGGGGTGTTGAAAGTAAATTGAAAAGAGAAATTAAAAATGAAAGAGAAAAAGTGTGTTGAAGATGAAGTGAAGGTTTATTTTGTGTGTTAAAGCTTAGTTGTTCTGTTGGGAACGTCAAGCTGAGAAGAAGTGGAGGTGGTTAAGGGGTTTAAATATTATTGCAAGTCTTGAAGGGATGGTGTTTGTGGTCGTTCGGTCAAATCTCACACCTACCCTTCTGTTATTATCTTTTTATTTATTTTTCTATCTACATGTTTTTATTTTTTATATTAGTTTGATGTTTCCTTCTACCTTTCCTTTATTTTCATTATTTATTTTTATTATTATATCATAAAAAGTGTCCTGTAACTTGAATTAGATTCTGTATGTGTAATGATTATTATTTTATTATCAAGGGAGCTAAGTTCATTTTATTATGTCATTGGGGTTTTTTGTTGTCTCAATAAAACATCGGGGCATTAGTATTATCAAGTTTGGTTCTAATAAATAAATACAAATTAAATATGTTTTATCCATAAAAAAATAAAGGTTAAGTTTTAGTCTTGTAAACTTTTTTATATTTTAATCCTGGTAAAAATATTATAGGATATAACCATGTATTATTAAATATCGGGTCCAATGTGATCTTGTTATTTGAGACACATAAGTTTTAAATGGAGCAAAAATAAGTTATTTTACGTGTAAACATCGCAAGTTTCACCACGGGTCTTTTTAACAAGAGTCAGAGACATTATGAACTCTTGCGTGAATACTTAGGGAATTTCAACTATGCCGCCATCTAGATGCTAAATTTTAATCAAAAGATGTTCATGTGAGCCTTCTAGAATGGATTGAAAGTCGGGAACTTCAACGAGTCTTTCGCCCAAAAGCTTGTTGACTCAATGGAAGAAATAATGAAAGGGCAAAGTGCTTCGTGAAGAGTGGGGAGATTAAAGCAGAAAAAAGAGCAAGACGTGCAAATGAAAAAAAGTAGTCGAAATTTATTCAATAAAAAATGGATGTCAAAAAGAGTTTGTAAAAAGATTGATGCTTGAATTCGATCATTTATACGAGGCAATAAGAATTGGTATTGGTTTAGTTAACCAAAATTAACATTATATTTGGGAAACATGTTTAGGATATAAACAAAGTCGGGTTGACCTATACCTAAGGCCTATATACTTGCATAACTACAATAACTCGACCTCAAGTAAATTTTTTGAAAGATGTTTAGACAGAGATATTGAAGTTTAAATGACCATTACGGTCATTATGACTGTTAGAATCAAATAAGGGAACATCAATGTTAAATGGTCGTTGTGGTCGTTATGGTCGTTACAATCAATTTTAGTAACAACAGGAGGAATACCAAATGAGAAGAGGTGGGATATAAGAAGGGAAGAGTGTGAGAGGAAAAGACAAGCACAATTCATACATAAGGAGGCTCTAGTGATTCCGTAGTTGGTAAAGTTACAAATAATGTAAATTTTCCAGTATATTTGACGCCTATCATGGGACCCAATTAAATTAACATGGGCAACAACTTCTCTAAAAATTTATGTAACTAGAAAATTATTTCCTAATGGTGATTAATATCACAAGCATCAATAACAGTGATTGGCGTTTTGTAACAGAAATGATAGTCGTTGTGGAGGAGTTGCGATGAAAAAAATGAAGCTTTGTTGGGTGATGTATGCAACCAACAGCAGCGACAACAATAGCCAATCATTGAGGATGAGGAAGAATTTCTTAATCTTAAACCTTTTTCATTGATGCTTGAGATGCGCCTGTCCCGGAAGGTATCAAACCACCTCGTTGACACCTTTTGATGGAAAGAGTGATCCTTAAGAGCACATCCATGTTCTTAATACTCATATGGCCATAATCGATGCAACAAGTTCACTAAAAAAACATTTTGGCAATAGCACTCAAAAGAGTAGCATTAAGATGATATATGAACTTGTGTAGGTTCTCCATAGCCAACTATCAAGATCTCAATAGGATGTTTATTCATATAGGAGTGTTCATGGGTACGGGTCAACCCGCGAACTCGCTCACCCAAACCAACCCAACCCTTATTTTTACCCAACCCAATCATGTATGGATCTAACCCGAACCAACTCATTCAAATCCATTGATATTTGGTTCGGGTAACGGGTTTGAAGTTTTAAACTTAACCCAATCCATTGACATGTCACGCTATTTTTACTTTATTTTATTTATAAATTATCTAGCATAATTCTTACAATGCATATATATTTTTAAAATATAATTATAGTTTTTATTAATTGTACGAGTCTAAGTCTACATAAATTTGAGAGATCAATTTTATTTATTCGAAGAGAGATATATTTTTTCTTTTAAATTATACTTTACACTATTTGTATATTTTTTTAATTTGATATTAATCGTAAAAGAGTTTTTAGGTGTTAAATGATAAATTTATTCAAATTAAATACTAAAATTTTATGATTTTTATAATGTTTTTGAAAAATAAATTTGTTAATTAAATTAATATTTTATTTAGAATTTGAAAAATTATATTTAATGGATGACCCACAAACCCAATCCAATCCAACCCATTAATGAGCAGGTTGATTTGGTTTGAGTTTAGTCTTAGAAGTATGAGTTGAACACTCAACCTAAACCAAAGACTATTGATTTGGTCGGATATTGGGTTTAATCAAATTAGACCCAACCCAACCCACGAACACTCTAGATTCATAAGTTCTCTGCGACCAAACATTCAAGGGTATCGACGACTAGTTTATTTAACTTTGGTCATGGAAATGTCGAGTCCTTGAGAGAATATTTGTCCATGTTCAATGAAATTAATATATAGGTGATCTTCCTAATAGGAAATTTTTCATGGGGGCTTTCTAGAATGGCTTCAGGGCATAATATTTCATTGAGTCGTTTACATAGAAGCTAGTAGATTCAATAGAGGAGATCATGTTAAAGGTAGAATGATATGTAAAATGGGAGAAGACTAACACTGAGAAAAGATCAATGGTTGCAAAAGAGTTAACACGGGAAAGCCCAAGTCATCAAATTCTCAGAGAAATTAAATCATATAGTTGATCTGAGATACAAACACATTGAAACCAGCTCAGAGACAAACTCATAATTTCAGACCTATAAACACTATAAGAGGTCAAATATTGTAGGAAATATACCATATTAAGGCTATTTTTCCTCCATATATTCCAATAAAAAAGGTGATGGATAATGATCCTGATAGGTAGTGCAAGTACCATAAAGTTAAAGTGAGTCATACAGATAATTGTCACCATTTTAAGAGAGAGATAAAACATTTAATTAAGTAAGTACATTTAAGGAGATATGTCTAGGAAAATTCTTGTAACACGAGGGAAATGGTGACATAGCCCGAGAAAGATCACCCAAGACGCCCCTACCTAAGTAGAAATAAGGGCTCAAAAGATACCAGATAGATTCACCACACACTCAATACCGTCTCTGGTGGGTTTTAGGGATGAGGAGAGTCGAGTTCTTCTCAAAGAAGATATGTTCACCAAGTCATGTTTATGATTCACTATCTAGATTGAAGGTAACTTTTCAGCCTGGGATTAGTTTACTCACGAAGTTGATGCAAGAAACTTTCCTTACAAGGATAACCCCATGGTCATCAGCTTACAAATATTTGATTGGGATATTGAACGAGGATGACCCCAATTTGCCTTGATTTCTCAACATCATGTAATAAATGATGATAGTGTTGAGACAATTATGGAGACATATATTTCTCCCATTAGGGATCACCGTGTTGATCAGATTGTCACCTTGAAGGATAATAACATGACCTTTCATGGGGTTTCTCAAACAAATAGTGACATTATTACCCCCCACCTATGCTAATTTAGTTAAGGTTGACATGGATAAGGATCCTCATTTTACTTCATATGTATCCAATAATCACATAAAGAGGTAAAATAAATAAGCAAGTAGTGTCATTATTATTTATAACACTTGATCTAAGAGTGATTCTATTATTCACTCCCTTTAATCTTTCCATTCTTTTTTCTTTTTTATTTTTCTTTTCTTTTCTTTTATTTATTTATTTTTTCTTTATCCCCCTGCTTTTTATTTCATTTTATCTTTATCTTAGTAATATATATGTGTTTTATTCTGGAACCAGAATCATCGGTATAAATTCTTGACGCGGTTTTATAGATCTCCAGTGCAGCTAGGTGGAGGATAGACATGCAAGGTTATAACTTCAACTCTCAAGTTAATGAAGAAAAATGGGTAGAATGAATTATGATTAGAATAATACCTTAAGCTACACAAGTGGTGTCTTATATATGATAGAGGGTAGTTTGGCCTATTTTGCATTGGGTATATGACTGACTTTGAACAATTTCCCACAATGATTATCTTGATGTGGCATATGGGAAACCCTTAAAGAAATTGGGACGAGATCTTTCTATCGGTATACTGGTGTCGAGAAGTGAATAGATTTAGGGAGCATACATATTAATTTCTAGTTTCATCATTGAGACGTTTCGCATGATTTCCTTACATGTGACCATAGGTTCGTAGGTTAAGGAGTGAAGCTTACCCCCTAGAATACTCGAGTGCACTAAAGGCCTATTATATTTTTGAGGGGATCTGGCCGTTGTTTTAATCTTCCCATTTTCTTTCATTTTTCATCGTTGATTTTATCTCTCTTGTTCTCCTACATAAAAATTATGTTGGCTTTTCAAACAATTCGTACTCCTTCTTACAACTGAGACTTATTTTCTTCTCACAAACCATTTCCTTCTTCTATGAGCTCCGATGACCTATAGTTTCTCCATATTTTCCTTTTATTTGGGTTCTGCATTTTCTGATTCACTATCATTTTCAAGTTTCATTTTCTTTTAAGTGTTCCTTCATTGCACCTCTTTATTCAGGTATCATTTCTAGCATCTTTACTTAAGTTTTGATGCTTTATTTTCTTGTCTTTGATATGACCAGTATAAAACATATGTATGCGACATGATGAAAGAA